CTGGGGATGTGGCTCAAGCGGTAGCGCGCTTGCCTGGCATGTGTGCGGCCAGGGTTCGATCCTCAGCACCACATACCAACAAAGATGTTGTGTCCGCCGAAAACTAAAAAATGAATATTAAAAAATTCTGTTTCTCTCTCTCTCTCCTCTCTCTTTATAAAAAAAGTAAAAAAAAAAGAAAAAAACTTTAAGAATAACATATAATACAAAAGTTTTTTTTCCAAATAAAATTTTATTTTTATATGAAATATCACAGAAAAATACTTACAACAGCGAGTTACTAAATGAAACTTGTATCTGCTATGTCTTATTGGTATAAGAACTCTTTTTTATTGAGCATGGTGGCAAACACCTGTAATCCCAGTGACTGGGGAGGCTGAGGCAGAAGGATCACAAGTTTCAGGCTAGCCTCAGCAATTTAACAAAAACCTATTTCAAAAAATAAAAAAGGTTTGGAGATGTACTTCAGTGGTAAAGTGACCCTGGATTTGATCCCCAGTACCAAAACAAACAAAACCCCTCCTCATTTTTGAAAAATGAAATATGACTTTAATTATGCAAACCAAATGGCTATCTTCATACACAAAAATTCTCACATTCATATCATCTCTTAGTCTAATAGCTTTGACCTTGGTCCTGTTAATGAGGGAGTGTTGGATAGCCAGGTGACACTGACTTAATAATACTTCAAATACTCTAGAGGAATGTAATGTCCAAGGAGATGTTTTCTCCAAGTGGACCTGCTGGAATCATTGGGGACTTGGCAGACACAGGTCAGGGACACTGCACCTTGCTTTTGTCCCCACCTGCGCTGAACTTGTGACGTCTTCTGACTCTGCAGAAAACTTCCCTCTGCATGATACCCTCCAAGATGACCAGCGCTCACCCAGAGGAGGATGCTCTGGACACCTTTCTGCAGTACATTGAGGATATGGGGATGAAGGCATACGACGGCCTGGTGATTCAGAATGCCTCTGACATTGCCCGAGAGAACGATCGCTTGAGAAATGAAACCAACCTGGCCTACCTGAAGGAGAAGAATGAGAAACGCCGCAGACAGGAAGAAGCCATAAAGCGGTAAATATAATAAGCATGACCTGGGCTTTGCACACCAGGGAGCCTGTGAGTGCTGCTCGGGCTGTGACGTTATCACCTGGTTAAGAAGGGGCTCTCAGAGTTGGCTGGACTTGATGAGAGGAGGTGACAGTGGCAGCTCCACCGTCCAGGCTGCTGACAGGGTTCTTCCCTTAGCTACAAGTTTCTTGCATGTGTGTGGTGCTTGTGGAGGTTCAGAAAGGCTTGGAAAGAATTCAGCTTCCTCCAAATTAAGGATCAACAACCTCTGGGGAAGAGCACAAGAGAACACACCACCCCTCTAATGGCTAAAGTTTGATGTAAAACCCCACCTTAAGGGCCTTTGTTCATAGCACTTACCTTAATATAAGGATCATCTTCTCCCAAAAATATGACCAAATAACATCAATAATTAGCCTTTGATGGCCTCTGCAAGAGGCAGAATCCTCAGTGTGTGCTCTCAGATGAATTTAATGGCTCTTCCATCTCTTGTTTGGTACCAACTATCCCAGGTTAGTTCAAATGAATTATATTTATGGTGCAAAACCTAACAGCTCCAAGCTAATGAGCCTGGCATTGCAGCCTTTCAAATCCCAGAGGCTTGGGAGGCTGAGGCAAAGCCAACCTCTGCATCTTAGCAAGGCCCCAAGCAACTAAGAAAGGCCTTGTCTCAAGATAAAAAAAAAAAGGACTGGGGATGTGACTCAGTGGTTAAGTGCCCCTGGGTTCCATCCCTTGAAACAAACAAACAAACAAACAAAATTGAGGTTAAGTGTCCTGGGGCACAGGCACCAAAAGAAGGAATAAGTTTTGGGTTTTCAAGAGAATGTTAGTGTTTTAAGGATATATTTGCCCATGGTACATGTACACACCTGTTGTTGTGTTTGATGGAGTCCTGCTTCTTCTGAATCTATTTGCTAAATGTAAAAATCTAACATAGGAAATAATTTCATCAGTTAGCGGGTAACTGAAAATAAGCTATTTTGGTATTTCATGCTAGATTTTTTTCCTCTAATTTGGTATTAATATTTTGTATAGTCTGTGTGAATATTATGACATAAAATATTATTTTAAGATAGTTATTTATGCTTATAAGGAACTAAGCTAAGAGTAAGATTGTGTCACTCCAATATTTTGTGAAAATTAATTTTATGAGAGAGAGTTTGGAAAAAACACTAGAAAGAAGTGTTGTGGAAGACTGTTTTGAAAGAGTATATTCTTGTGGACTATTAAAATGGGAATGTATTCTGTTACTAGGTCTAAAAATATTTGCACAATTATGTAGTTGATAAACATTTTCACAATGCACATGTTAATCTTTAAAATGAATTCACTTGTTGTTGGGGACTGTGTTGGTTTATATTTCTATCATTTCTCACACTTAAATGCCCTTAAGAATCCCCTCCCCAGTCAGACTATTTCTGATGGGCTTCTGTAGGTGAGCATTTTACTTTGGTTTCAAATTTGAGTTTTTCAAAATTCTAAACAGAAATAATGGCCAACATGATTTCTAAGTAACTTCAGCTCTACAATCTGGAGTTTCCTAATTTTGGTGTTAAAACTCAACAACTACTTCTTTTTATAAGCATATAAAAGAAATTATTTGCTGAATCGTTCTATTAGAATTTTCAGGGCACACATGGGTTCCATAATACTATATTTATCCATACTAACATCTCCTGTTTCATTAATAATATTCAGTATATTTCTATCTAAAGATCTATAGACACTAATAACAGAACTGGCTAATTTTTAGATGGCTTACTGTCAGGTGTTCTAAGGCGCATAACCAACAGTGCAGAGGAAGTTTAAAGTCCAAGACACACAAAGCAAGAATTTGTATAAATGGAGACATGGCGAAACCCTGTCACTACATAGGTGAGGTCTGGAAAACCCAGTTATGTGAACTTTGAGTTGGTCTCTAATGGATTAATAAGCAATACTTTCCAGAATTATAACAGAAAGCATGAAAATAAAGACAGCTCAGGACACACATTGAATTGAAAAGCAGCCAAATGATCTGAGCACATTTACTTCCCCATCACCCCACCTCCTAAACAGAAACTGATTGAACTACTCTCAGTTTGAGAATAGAGGGGGAAGACAGAAAAAAAAATGGGAAGGAAATCATCCCTCATGTTATGTGCTAATTGGTAAGAGCTTATGGCGGTTTGGGCCAGGATGCTAACATTAGAGTTGGTATAAAATGATCAAAACACAAGCAACATCTGAATTATTTGATTGTTGAATGTAGGAGTTGGTAGAGGAAGCAATTAAAGATTCATTTTCTTGTTTTCTATTTTATTTTGATTTTGCTTAGACTGGACAATAATGTTTTCACCTAATGAAATGGCAAAGACTTAACGATGAGCAAGTTTAGGGTCAATTATTGGGGAGCTCCTGCTCACCTTGTTGGAGCATATTTGTGAAGGTCAATTGTGTGAAGCCTTTTAAGGACTCAAGTGGAGAGTCTGAACAGACAGTTGGATAAAGAATCTGGGGGTTTTGGTAGAAATCAAAGCCAGAGGTATAAAGGTGACAGCCTTATTCTATAGATTTAGCATCCAGGAGCCTGGAGGAGAGAAGTAGTACTTAGGTTTAGACAGAGGTGATGAAAGAACCCAGAACTCATTCTTGGGGCATCTAATTGCTCATCTAATGGGACCAGCAGAAATATCTAGTGGAAGTGCAGTTACAGTTAGTGAGAAGGCAGAAGAACCACAAAAGGGAAAGACACCTCCAAGAGGAGTAAAATATGATTGGAGAAGAGGGATTTTGTGGATAGATCAAATACACGGAAGCCTGGAAAGTCACTGTTGCCTTTTACTGATTTGGTGTTAATAAGAAGAGTGTTTTGGGAGGACAAAGCCCACTGGAATTATGTTCATAAGAAAAATAAGAAGAGAATTGAAGCAAAATATAGAAAACTATTTTGAGGACTTTCAAAGTCAAAAACTGCAAAACAATTATAGTAGTTGCGTGGCCAGTGTGATTTATGGTTTTGTTTTGTTTTAATTTTGTTTCAGTAGGAAGCAAGAAAACTATATGTTGGTATAAATGAAACCATGGAAAGGGAAACGTTGGTGACTTAGGGAAGAAGATTTACTGTGAGCATGTCCTTGAGTAGTTGGGAAGCACAGACCGCTCCGTGTGAAAGAAAAGATGCTCTAGCTTATGGATGAATAAAATGAGTGATGAGTGAATGACAGGCTAAAAGCTAACCCTAGAAAGGCTTCTACCTGGTTCTCTAAGGCCATAGCACGAACTTAAATCAGGAGCCAAACTTTAGAAGAGAAATGTGTTGGAAAACCAGGACATCTGAGAATAAGTAGTGGAAAAAGAGGCAGAAGGGCCAAATTACTGAACAGTGCTGTTTTCCTGCCTTCCCAAAGCTTCGTTCAGCTAAAGCTGCAGAATGAAAGTAGAAGTAGGAGCCTGAGGCTAAGGACAAGCTCTGGTTGGAAAACAGTGTGCTGGGAAGATAACCCAAGGTTGCAAGCCTGTTTTGTGCCCGGGTGGATAAGGCAATCCACGGTGATTACCCACAGCAGTGAGCCTCACTCTCTGGGAACTACCCACACTCACCCCTCACCTCAAAGGCAATCACAGGGTAAGATTGGATGTTAATGGTAGAAATAACAGGCAGACATACAGGAGACAGTCCTGAGTGAGGTCAGTCGTAGCCCAAAGGACGGTCCATTAGTGTCCTTGTAATTGTTACATGTGCCAGGAATGGAAAGATGCAGTACAGTTGTAGATGCTTTCTACAACTCCTTCTGCTCTCTCTCATTTGCCCTACCCCACATCCTTTTCTGGAATTTTTGTTGAAAGTACAAATATCTCAGAATGCTATTAGAGCCTTTCCAAAATTGTTGATGCTTTTCTGATTTCCTTTGTCCTCCCCTGCCTCACCACCCCAAAAGCAAAATCATGCACAGCATGAGGGCATAGATGTCTCTGGATAGCATTGGGGGAGACAGCTACCCAGAGAAAAGAGAAAGAAGTCCTATAAGCTATGGTTGGATGGTAAGAGGAGCGGGGCTTAAAGACCTCTGCACTGCCTAGGGAGAGGGTGTCTCATCAGGTGGTGCAGTCTCAGCATTTATAGTAATGTACAAATTCAGTTTTATTTTATTCACAAGGCAACCAGTGTCCTGAGATTTTGACAATTTGAAAGCAATAATAATCTTTTTTTGTCCCCTTAACTTACATTTCAGATGACTTAACTTTTCTAATAAGAAATGTATTTTTAATTCTTTGAGAGAGTCCAAAGCCTTACATAGGTGTTCAGGGGTTCCAGAAATGGTAACAGATGCAGAGTACTCTCAGCCAAATCTAACACATATTGTCATATATTTTCCCATGCAGTTTATGTCAAGTAAAGAAAATTCAACATGGCATTAATGAACACAGTCTAATTAATTAAACTTATTTAATGTCTCTCCTGAATGCCTTTTAAAATAAATACTATGATTTAATATATAGGCTATAAATGCCAAAATTCTAAGGAGGAAGGATGTTTGACCTTGAAAAGGCATTGATGATAATTCTCTGTGAAATATGCCAGTTGCAATTTCAGAAATGTGCAGACTGCCAAGGATTGCTTAAAAAATGGAAATAGGATTTCATATGATTGACCTTCTGGATCACATATGTGCTGAAATGCCTTTTGTGCTGAAGCTGGGAAGCTTAAAACACTGAGCTCTTAGAAAGAGAATATTCTCGTCGCTTTCTCATCAATCTAAGTCACTTAGACTTTCTAAGCCCAATTCCTTATTTTTAAACTAACTTGAGCCCCTTGTCACTATTAACTTTCTTATACCTTCACTTCCATTTCTCACATGGGATTTTACTGAAAAAGCTGGTTCGGTAAAAAAATACTAAATAAATAAAAAAGTGATGCTGTTAGTGTTCTTCTTAACAGCTCCAAATAACATTTGGTGTGAAAGAAAGACTTAAGAGGGTGAAAAATTAATGGAGAATTTAAAAAATTATTTCTGCGG